TCTTTGCCATTATCCCAATATTACCACAATAGATACTATAGTAGCTTCCGTTTTCTTTTCCTTTATCCCAATATTACCCCAATAGATACTATAGTAGCTTCCATTTTCTTTTCCATTATCCCAATATTACCCCAATAGATACTATAGTAGCTTCCGTTTTCTTTTCCTTCATCCCAATACTACCCTAATAAGATACCTGATCGCCGAGGTGGTGGCTCCCTCATCAAAGCAAATGCAACTGGTCTCAACTGACGCATCTTATTGGGGTTTAGGGTTTAGGGTTTTGGGATAATGGAAAAGAAAATGGAAGCTACTATAGTATTTATTGGGGTAGTATTGGGATAATGGAAAGGAAAATGGAAGCTACTATAGTATCTATTGGGGTAATATTGGGATAATGGAAAAGAAAATGGAAACTACCACAGTCCATATTCTTGGGTGGGCATGGCATGCATCCTCTTTGGGTGCGAACTCGAGATCATCGTTTGCAGGTTGAAATACTAACTTCTGTAAATGCATTACAAACCTGCATGTGTTTTTGTCTTCAGGGTTAGGCGGAGTGACCTGTCCACGGGAGAAAAGCGAACATGGCCCCCGCTACACCCGTTCACTTCTTTCATCAAGGTTCGTGCTTTTTTATGTTGTTTTGCTCCGGGAATGTGAAGTTTTGGTTGGCAGTGCACCGTTTGGGCCAAGCCAGTGGTAGGGCATGCTCTAACACAATGATGAGGCTAAGTTTTTTCTTGGCTGTCCGTATGCAATCCGCGTTTCACGCCAGGTTCGGCTGTCACCGTGGTTGAGAAGATGGTATTTCTGGGTTGCTGTTAAGGAACTTGAATTAAGTTACCATAATGGGTATATATAGTAAATAATAGGGTTTCCCCAATATAGTAACTCAAATTCAGGGGTGTGCAGGTGAGAAGGCACAAAAGAGATGTCTCTCAATGTGAGTAGTATTTTTTTTGGGGATACTATGGTACCCAACATAGAGTAAGATTATATCCTCTTTTTGGGTATAGTATTTTATATAAGAAATATTATCTTACTAGGTTCAACCACCAAAAAAACTACTCATGTATCCTTTGGGCAGGTGGCCGCAGAGGAGCGAAAGCTTACTCCCCCTGGTATTTGAGTGAGTCAGAAGCACTACATGTGAAGGTCGGCCCTCAAAACACAGCTTTCAGTAACTCCAGCTTCACACTTGAGGCCATTAGCAAAGCCACTGACCGGCATTTGTACTGCAAGTATTCTCCGGCTATAGGACAGCAAACAAAAGCGGATTACCTTGCCGACTCGCTGTTCATGGCAGTCGCTGTAACCATAACGTTGGCGCTGGTGGATGTAATAGCATTCACTAAAAGTCGAGGCAAGAGCAGAAGCATAAGTAACCAGTGTCCACTGCACCAGCAGCAGGGGGAACAACAACAGGTGGAGGAGGATGAGGACGAGAAACAGTAGCAGCAGCGAAACAGCGAAACTCGGAGCGGCAGCGCTCAAAGTACTCGTAGCACGGGGAGCGGTAATTTGTGCCTGTGATGGTGGTGGAGGTGGTGCCGGCAGCTCTTGTCGTCGCGCTTGCCGTTGCTGTTGCTGAAGGCCAACAGAGCGCCAACAAGGACAACAATTGAACACTGCGTACAGAAAATAAGCTTTGCAAGCGTCCCACTTAGATTTGGATCTAACACCCCTCAAGCAACGAGCTGTACCTGCTATTCAATGGTGAGTTGCGGTTCCGCTGTGTTTGCAGCCGTAAGCCACGCCCAAGGTTGTTGGCGCGGTGGACGAATTTTGCTCGCGCCTCTTTGAGGCTAGCTTGCCCATGGGGCTTCACATTCTAAGACAAGAGTGGGCGTACCTGATTTGGGGTCCTGGTAGCTGGGGAGCCCAGCAATTTTATTTTGAGTTCGGTAAAGAACAGGTATTTTGATGCGGACAGGCTTGATTGTGACCAGTTGGCACCCGCAGCGGTTGCCCGTTTTACTCTGATTCTGCAAGGGCTTATCGGATTATGGGGTGCCTTACGGTAGCTGTTTTGTGGAGCTTTGTGTGGGCTCTTATGTAGACAGCAGCGAGTCTTCTGCATTCCTCCTGATGCGTTTTATCAATCAAGAAGGTCGGAGTTTCGGATGCTTCTCAACATGGGGGTTTCCCGAAATTAGGGGTACCATTTTAGGGGTCCCCAAAATAAGGATGATAATATATTGGGATCTATATTAGGGTCCCCCAATTTTTTGGGAAACTACCGAACAGAGGTACCGAGAGTATGTCAAGATATGTCAGGATTATAGGAGGCTTGTAACGTACATGTCCCCAAATGGGATGATATAGGAGTTGTTTTGAAGGTTTGGAAATGGGGGCCTGCACGGCTCAGCAAGAGCTGAAGGACAGGCGAAGCCGCAAATCTCCATCACTGAACGACACGCCGACTGCACGAGTTTGCTGACAGCTTGAAAGGACTCTAGTGCCCGTGTTGAAGGCCCTAAGCCCTAAACCGTTGTATGACAGGAGCTTGACTATCGGCGCGAAGCGCGCAACGCTCAGCGATTTGCATCCCTGTACGGCCGGGGCCTCTGATGTAGTATAGGGATTTAATAGGGTATATATTGGGGTTATATTGGGATAATTGAAAAGAAAATGGAGACTACAGGGATATAGGTTTTATATACGGTATATATTGGGGTTATATTGGGATAATGGAAAACAAAATAAAAACTACAGGGCGTATAGGGATTATATAGGGGTTATATACGGATTGGGTGTTCGCTATAAAGACTTCACCAGGTGCAAGTGCTGCCAAGCGCGGACAGGAGATTATAGCCCCCCTAAGGAAATAGAATATGGCTGTGTGTGTACATTTTAATAAGATCCCCTCTACCTCATATTCTATCTACTCAAGGGGGACTATATACCCCAAGCCCTAAACCCTAAATAGTAGTTTCAATTTTCTCTTCCATTATGCAATATAACCCCATATTCTATCTACTTGAGGGGGACTAACTGCCGGTTGTGGGAGTCTTGGTGACAGGACCGGGCCGGTGCCCGGCTATAGTAGTAGTTTCCATTTTCTTGTCCATTATCCCCAATATGACCCCAACATATTCCCTGTAATCGCTATATAAACCTATATAAACCCTGTATACCTCCTATAATCCCATCAATTCCAGGGTTTTGTGCCAGTTTGCTCCTAGAATTAATCTTGGGCAGCTATGCTATGCAAGGGGAGTTATCACATAGGGACCGTAGGGAGTTTACATCAGCCCTATGCGCCTCTAATACGGCTCCTATTCGCCCATACAGTAGCATGGCTTCTTTGCCCCATATATACATAAAAATTGTAGCCCACACAGGGGTAAGTCTCTTGTGTGGTTGGTCTGATATCATGCGTGAAGCTGCAGGCGAGGGCGGCGACTTTCAAGATAGGCTTCCGAAACCAGGTGCGGAACATGTGGGTTTGCTCAGATTTGGGTTTAGCTGTGGGAAGCTCCCGAGTGTGTAGTCCCTGTACACGAGGCTGCTAGAAGCCATCGATCTTTGGAGGCTTCATGTTGCTCCTGTTTGCCTACGCAGGGTGGGTGGAAGGAGTGTATCTTATACAGGTCGACGATCTGCTGACATGGGGTCTCTTGTTTTGCGGGGAGCTATGTAGGCATCTTTTCCATGGCATACGAGGTGCTTGAGACCACCAGCAGGTTACCTGGCCACAACGAAGCCGAGTCTAGAAGACCGACACATCCCAGTGGCGGAAATCGTTTATTTGCGGCAGGTATAGCTTGGACACTTTCCCCGCCCCCACCCTATAAGAGTCACATGTCAGATGTTTTAGTTGGCGCAGCAGAAAACTACTGCCAACTGCAATCTTTAAGGGGGAACCCGAGACCCACGTCAAATGAGACCCAGGCGTTGGTTGAGGCTTCAGTTGCGTAAGGGCTGCGA